TCCAAGATAATTTTGTCTGTTTCTGAATTTCTTTTATTTCCATGTGAACTCGAGAATCATCTTGCCAATTTCTGCAAACAAACAAAAACAGCTAAGGTTTTTATACGAATCATTTTGAACCTGTAGGTCAATTTGCAGAGTATTGCCATCTTAACAAAATTAAGCCTTTTTATCCAGGAAATTGAGTGTCTTTCCATTTATATGTCATCTTTAATTTCTTTGAAGAATGTTTTATAACTTTTTGTATACATGTTTTACATTTCTTTTGTTTTTAATTTATACCTACACAGTTCACTATGCCATTTTAAATGGAATTTTTTAAAATTTTATTTGTATTGTTCTGTATGGTCATACAGTTGATTTTTGTCTGTCTTGTCTTGTATCCAACAATGTTCCTCTGTTCATTGATTATAAATGATTCTTAATAGATTCCTTAGGATTTTTCTCTACACAACAGCATGTCATCTTCAACTAGAGGAAGTTTTATGCTTTCCTTGCAGTATGGGTAACTTTTTTTTTTAATCTTGTTTTAGTTGTTGACGGACCTTTATTTATTTTTATGTGGTGCTGAGGATTGAACCCAGTGCCTTACACATGCTAGGCAAGCACTCTACCACTGTGCTACAGCCCCAGCCCAGGATAACTTTTATTCTTTTTGCAAGGCTTAATTTTTCTGTCTCTAGTACAATGTTAAATAGAAGTAGTAAGAGCAAATAGTCTGATTTTGTTCTTGGTCCATCATTTTAGGGAGTTTCTTCTATTCCTAGTTTTTAAAGTGTTTTATCATAAAAGGATGCTAGGAATTGGTAAATGCTTTCTGTACATTTATTGAAATAACAATATGATTTTTATACTGTATTCTTTAATATGATTTTAAATCAACTTCCATTCTTTGGGTAAGTCCCAATTTTTACATGACACTGTGTTCATGTTTGGGTTTCTGAGTATTTCAGTGAGCATTTTTGTATCTATGTTCATAGAGGTTGTGAATTGCTTTTTTCACTTCTTTCTGTAGTCACCCCCTCCAACATGATATCTTAAGCTTGTTTTGGCACCAATTTTGGTGTCCTTTTTCCTTGATCCCTGTTTTTCTTGCTTTCTAGCACAAGATGTGCAAAGATGATTTGTATGTTTCTAGCCCCAAATCTGGACTCAACCATTTTTCTAAGGAGCCTGTTCAATTTAGTGGTAAACCATAATCTGACTGCCACAGCGGTCAGTATTGCTGGGTTGTCATTGCTTCTCACTTCCGGGTGGTGAGTACATGGGGCTGTTTTGCTCTTGGTTCGAGAGTACACACGTATGGTAGGTTTTTTAAAAATATTCATGAAAAACAATGTTGGATGAAGTAAGAAAGATTTTATTTATACAAATTCATAAACTGATAAAAATGAGTAGTGTTTTATTTGGAGATTGTACATATAAAATACATAAATGAGGTTAAAAAGAGACACATACGGGAAAAAGTGACATAAATTACCTTTCTCAAAAGATTTAGTGGAATACATACAGTTGGCTAACTGCACTTTCAATGCTCCTGGGTAGTGATTATAGCGGTTCTCCCTTATATGTGGGAGATACTTTCTAAGACCTGCCCCTTCCATGGATGCTTAAAACCACAAATAATACTGAATTCTATATGCAGTATATTGTTACAAATGTGTTTGTATACCTATGATAAAATTTAAGAATTGACACAATTAGCAACAAGAACTAAAAATAGAGTAATTCCAACAATGTATAATAATAATTATGTGAATGGACATATACTTTCTTTCAAAATGTCTTATTGTACTTTTCTCCTTTTGTTTAAAGGAAGCACTTTACTTCTTTTTGGCATATTTGAATTGCGACTTAATACTTCAGGGCATTATTAAATAAAATAAGGATTACTTGAATACAAACCCTAAAAGTCCAAGGCACTGCATCTGATAACTGATATAATTACTAAATTATTGATAGGCAGGTTGGAGCCACAGAACAAAGAAAGAATTCACATTCCAGGAAGGATAGAGGAGGACAGTGTGAGATTTTATCACATTACTCAGTACAGTGCACAATTTAAAACTTACGAATCGTTTATTTCTGGACTATGGGTGACTGAAAACTGCCTCGGGCAAAATCATCAATAAGGGAGGACTCCTGTATGTAGGTGTGTGTTTTGTTCTTAATCCTGAAACATATATATATGGAAGACTTTTTAAATGCATGCTGTATTTCACATTGCTCATTTATGAAATTTAAAATTTGTTGTTTACAATATGAAGTATTGTTGAAACATTTTTCCTATATATCATAAGTAGTCTTTAATTTCTGATATTTTTCAAAATAGGTGGAAATTTATTTCTAATCATGATTTTTGAAATTTGTGCTGTTTATAATTCTCAGTCAGGTATCTATATTAGTTTAAAAAAATGAATTTTGACCATTACAATATATACAGAAATCAAGTGGTTTTTTTTGGTGTGTGTGTGTGTGTGTATCCTTATAACCCTAAAGTAGTAAAAATATTATTCAGTGTACAAAATGCTCTTAACATAGAAAAAATATAAAGAAAAATTAATTAAACTCAATGAAAGGTAAAAAAATTCTCTTTATCCAACTCTTAAATAAATTATGGTATTTTCACATAGTGTAATAGCATAGAATTATGAGAATTTCAGAACTGTATTTATACCTAAAAATATGGATGAATCTCACAGATGAAAACTGAGAAAATCTGTAAAATGATATACTTTTTCAATTCTATTTGTACAAAATTAAAGCAAAAATGCAAACTAGTCTAGAGTGTGGAAAAACAGAGTAGTGAATACCCTTATCTGGAAAGGTGATATAAGGGTGGTTTCTATAGTACTGATAGTATTCTGTTTATGGATCTGTGTGCTGATTACAAAAATGGGTTCACTCAGAAAATTCTTCAATGAGTACATTTATTGTCTGAGTATTTTTTCTGTATTTATGTTGTACTAAAATAAAAGATTGAACAAAAAAGTTTAGATGCTTGTGAGTGTGTATAGGTAGGAAAAGGAGGAATCAATGCCTGCTTGTGTACATGCAAAATATTTCTCCAAGTTATTAAGAAGCTAATATCACTGGTTGCCTGAAATGGTGAAGGATAGAGTGGAAGGGAGACTTTTTGAGATCTGTTTAGGTAAATCCATAAAAGAGGGACACAAATGGTGCTTATCTACTATTGATTTTGTGGTATCATAAGAATTTAACATTTGTACACAATTTTAGATAAGATTTTACATGAGTTAAACTGATAAAATTGAATCAATCTTTTCAGTAGTTCTTACAAGGCAGAGGGAGATATATATTCATATAAAACTTGCAGATATTAATACATACCCAAGGAAATCTGCATGACAGTATATTCTCATGGTAACTTGGACTGTGAAGATCCCATTAGCTGAGGACATCAACTTGATTACTTCTATAAAATAATGCACGTGCCAAAAAACAAAATATATCTGCTACTATGAGTATTTAGCAGCTGATTCCAGTCAACAGCAAGATGTGATTAGTTACCAGACATTAATTTCTAGGGGTCAGTGAACAACTCTGGTGTATTATACTGCAGTTTTTTCTCCAGACAGCGCTTAGTTTCAGTATCACACCAATTAGTTTGATAAATGCTCTACCTATCCCTATCGCAACTTCTGAAAACATCTGTTGTCACCAAGATTATTTCTTGAAAAGCAATACCCATGCAGTTGGCTATTTCCTTACCTGGTTGAGGTTATTTTTTGGTGATAACACATGTTTTCATCAGCATTATTTTTACTTCTGAATTAAAAATGACCTTGTTTATTTAAATAATTCTGATTAGGTAAACACCCAGAGTAAGTAGAAAAATACATATCTTGCTCTCTGAGTTTCTTTTCCATATGATTTAGCATCCCCTCCTCCACCCTTCATGCACACCTTGGGTGGTTTTTATTTGTTTTTCAGGTCTGTTTCTATCAAGGTTCCTCCACCTCCTACCCCAGTGTATTTAAAGCATTCGCTGTCCTATCCATCTGGTTGATAGAACAGTATCAACCAGACAGATACTTGTCTCCTCAGTCCCCTCGGTCTTTCTTTAAAAAAAAAAAAAAGTCTATTTGCCTGGCGTTACAGTAAGTAACTGTTTGGTTGAATTATGACTTCTTTTTTTTTTTTTTTTAATTAGTGCTGGGGGGACAATAGGCTGCTATTTAAAAAAAAAAATTCTTAATTGTGTAAACAATAAAAATGATACTTTAGGTGTATAAAAACTATATAGTTTTTTATATATATACATATAATATATATATATATAAAACTATATATACATTTATATATATATAAAACTTTATATGTATATAAATTTATATATATATAAAACTATGTGTATGCTGAATCTTTTTAAGTTTAGGTCCTTTATTACCTAAAATTCTCCTATCAATATTTATTATGATTGTTTTCTTTGTATTTTTATGTTTTATTTACATGGAAATTTCTGGACCATTTTCAAACAACATTCATTTAGGGATTTTCTATAGTAAAGTGTTACTTCTTTTGTTTTTTAGCATTTTTTTAGTTATACAAGAACATAATATCTTTTATACATGAATTTAATATCTTTTTTTTTAAATTTATTTTCATATGGTGCTGAATATTGAATCCAGTGCCTCATATGGACAAGGCAAGTGCTCTGCCACAGAGCCACAACCCCAGCCCAAAGTGTGATTTTTTGAACTGATGACTTACATATGCACTTTCAAAAAGAAAATTATATATGTACATACCAGAAAAAAATAAGTTATTTCTGATCTAAATTAAAAAGAATTATAGAATCAGGAAGTCATTATTGACTATATCTTGACATATAGGTCTGATCCAGAAAGAGTAGAAAAATTTTTGTGTATTCTTGTGTGCCCTCAATTTTATGGGCCCAGTAGTTGCCTATGTTGCAGCTTCGCTGACTTTTGAATGATCAAAATGTTCTCTTTTTCTCCTTTCCATTTTTGTCATAGGTGGAGGAGCTATTGATGGCCATGGAGAAAGTAAAGCAGGAACTAGAGTCCATGAAAGCAAAGCTGTCTTCCACTCAGCAGTCTCTGGCAGAAAAGGAAACTCATTTGACCAATCTTCGGGCAGAGAGAAGGAAACACTTAGAGGAAGTTCTAGAGATGAAGTAAGTGTTTATAACCTTGTTCTTTAATTAAGCACATGCTTAGTAGAAATGCTTTTCTTTCTAACTTTCATATTGTATCTTTATTACCCCTACACTTAGCCTAATCATTATGCTAGCTTGCATTCTCACTATATAACAAATTTGGTGACATGTGGCACAAATCCTTTTCAAACAGAATTATTTTGAGGCACTTTTTCAGTGAATTTTAGAGTATTCTCATGTATATGTTTCTGCATCTAATTACCTCTCTGAAATTCCTAAAATCATGGGAAAGTTTATGTAAATTGGTCAGATGATTAGGGAAGAGGGTTATTGGTTCTGAGATCATATGACTACTACTAGAATTTTCTTTTTTTCATAGATTCAAAAGCAGGCCCTTGTATGTGCTAGGCAAGCACTCTGCCACCACCATCAATACCAGTACTTGGGGGCTGGGGATGTGGCTCAAGCGGTAGCACGCTCGCCTGGCATGCGTGTGGCCCGGGTTCGATCCTCAGCACCACATACAAACAAAGATGTTGTGTCCGCCGAAAACTAAAAAATAAATATTAAAAAATTCTCTCTCTCTCTCTTTCTCTTAAAAAAAAAACAGTACTTGGCAATTTTTTTTTAATACTTACTATAAACATTTTGAAAAGTATAGAAAAAATAGAGTAGTCTAATGAACCTCCATTTACCTGTCCTTCAGATTCAACAGTTAACATTTTGCTACACTGGAAGCCAGCAGTATTTTACAAAATGGTCACTTTTAGCAAAAGTTTGCTGTACCTCATTTTCCTATTTGCTCCACATCTGTGGATTCCTGAGACTGTCATTGTTGTGAAGTATATATACATCTTCTACTACATAATAGATGCTTCTTTTTCTCCTCCGTGACCTTCTGTTTAGAACACATCTCTCTATTAAATGTCCAATAATAATCCAATAAATGCCATTTACCATTGATAACCATTTACCATCCTTACCTAAAGACCTATTCCCATTTTAATAAAACCAAGTCTAACATGAGATCTCTTAGTTACCAGTTGTCTGTGTTTTTGTTGTTGTCTGTCTTTGAGGAGGTGTTCTTTTTCCTTTATAAGGCCGGCTGCTTATCTTTGTAAGAAATTTTAAGCACTGGTTGCTCCTCTGCAATATTCCTTTATTTGTATTCTCTCACATTTATGTTCACTTTATTTTTTTAATGTTTATTTTTTAGTTATAGATGGACACAGTATCTTTATTTTATTTTCATGTGGTGCCAAGGATCAAACCCAGTGCCTCACGCATGCTAGGCGAGCACTATATCTCTGAGCCACAACCCCAGCACCTATGTTCACATTCTTTTATTTCCTTCTTTGTATTTTATTTCTTCCTCTCTGGCTAAAATAAATACATGTTTTTCAACCTGACTCATTTAATCTGTCATCACCTCTTCTTTTCTGCTACTTTGAATTATCAATAAATTTTGAACACCTATATAATAGACAAGGATCTTGCCATAGTAAATAGCTTTTGAGTTTTCATGAGACATGACTACTGTGATACAGTGATAGCAACTCAAGGGTTGAGGAAGTGAGTGTTAAGCTGTTACCTGTGATTTCAGGTTGGAATGGCATAGTGCAAGGTTGAGAGAAGAGTGTTACAGATGATATGCTTTTGGAACAAATGAGTAAGTGAAGCCAGAAATAGACAGATGTCCTAGGACAGTAGAGATTATGGTTCTGAGTATCACTGTGAGAAAAATTATTACAAGTATACTTGTTAGGAACAAGTTAGTGAAAGAGGTTTTAGATAAGAGTTTTGTCACTGTAGGCAAAATTCAAAGCTTAACATTTCGGAGGTAAAGTAGTAGAGATAATTATTTGGCAGTAGAGAGTGAAATCATTAGATGTGAGTATGTCTGGGAACCATTCTAGAACATCTTAAGAAACAGAGGTGAGAAAAAAATTGAATCAGATCTCTATGCTTTTAAGAAAATGGAGTCAGGATGGAGATAATGTTGGGGAAAACACGGTATCATTTGTGATATTCCTATGGAGAAACAGCCTTATTAAAAGCAGCAATATATTGTTCTGTTTTCTCTAAGCACCAACATATGGCTTGTCAGGTCTTTTACCCTCAGTTTAAATAGCTACTTTTATACAAGTAGAAGTCTATTTCCCTTTATCATTAGAACTTTGAGATGATATGAAAGAATTTTAAGAATGCTCAAGTAAAAAGAGAATTGTATGTGATTTATTTTTCTATCACAGTACCAAACTTTATTCCTTGCTATCCGAGGTTTTATTTCTAGAAAATAAATACTATGATTGGCAGAATGTTATTGGTATTATGTTGTATGTTATACTCATACAATAAGCCATAGGATAATGGAAGGATATAGAGGAATGATAAACAATATAAAAATTTTTAAAAATAAACATTAAATAAAAGTTCTAGAAATACAGTGTTAAAACCTGGATCTGAGGACTGATTATTTTCTTGACTCACCTTCTTCAGTTGCTCAAGGTGCCTTAATGTGGCATCTTGATATTCTTAGGCAGATTTTTCACAAGTTTTGTGTCACGCAGATTGTAACATTTTTTTAAGTTTTTAAAAGACTTTAATTTTACCTTGTTGCCGTTTACTTTCAAATTTTATTAAGATGTTTGTCCACTAACTTCCATTTAATAAATTACATCAGTACTTTAGGCCTAATTAATTTGTTGAGAAAGTGTTAGCTCTTACCCAGTTTCTATTTGTACTGCCTTATAGACATGTGGTTCTACCAGGGGTAGGGAGCATCATTTATTCTCTTCTTTCCATATAGAACAGTAATTTGAAAAATTCCTATACTCTTTTGAAAAAAAATATGTTTTTAAAGTTTAGCTTTCAATATAAAGTAATGATTCATAGAGCCTCTACTAAAAACTCCACAGTTAAATCTAAGTGTAATTATACTAAAAGCACCATAAATGACGTATCATGGGTTCGAAATACAGTAAATTTTCAATTCCTTTTCACTGTGTAGCTGACTGAGGAAATAGTCTTTCCTCTTCTATGTTCTGAACTCCTGCTGTCTATATTTTGAGCAAATTCTAATTATCTGGCCTGGGCTAAAGGTGCCTCAGTTTCCAAAAATTTGTTCAGAATATGTTCTGTTGTCAGTTTGTAAGGAGGGTTTTACCCTGCAGAGAGCATGATTGTATGTGTCTGAGTACTTTTGATACTAAGAAAAGCAGAGTTCCAAGCCAGGTGTGGTGGTACATGCCTATAATCCCAGCAACTTAAGGAAACCGAGGCAGGAGGACCTCAGGTTCAAAGCCAGCTTCAGCAATTTAGTGAGACCCTATTTCAAAATTAAAAAGGGGTGGGGATGTAGCCCAGTGGTAGAACACCCCAGTGTAATTCCCAATTCTGGGGTACGGAGTGGAAAGAGAAAGCATACTTCCTACAATAAAAGAACCTGAATCTGAGTTCTGTCTCTGCCACTTATTAGCTCCATGGCCTCAGCAAGCTATTTAACCTGTCTGCACTCATTAGTCTTCTCATTTTAAAACAGCAATAATAGTTCCTGCTTCATAAAAGTTTTCTTATAAATTAAACAATAAATTAGTAATATAAAGAATTAAGAACAGAAAGCACTTATAACTATGCTTTTACTGTAAGTTTTTTCTTGCTGATGATTTATATGAAAACAAAATTATTTAAGTAGAGTTTAAGAGGAGAAAGGCAACATCCTTCCTGTGGCTATTGACAACAACAGATTCTTCACTCTATAGTCAATGTAGGACTCATTGTATTTTTAAAGGTTTAAGTTATTTCATTTGAATTATTTAATTATCAAAAGCAAAAGAACTTGCTCAGTGTAAGTAGAGAAATTGATAAGTAGAAGAAATATGAAGAAAATGCAACATGCAAAGAGCCTGATAAATGCATATGTATGACTCTGGATCTAGAATAAGAAATAGGCTTCCCTGAGGAAAAGACACTTGGCATTGGTGTGAATTTACTTTGTATTCAACCAGTGAATATACTTTGTATAAAACCAGTGAAAATTGTACCGTGTATGTGTAATATGAATTGTAATGCATTCTTCTGTCGTATATAAATTTAAAAAAATTAATTTTAAAAAGATAGTTGGCACATTTCTGTAGGGAATTCTTCAGCAAAGCACTAGAATACTCTAGTTTTCTGGAATAATCCTGACCTCATCAAACCAAAGGAAATGGCCTAAGTTCTTTTCCATACCTAGCATTTAAGATTGTCATTTTCACGTGTCTGTTACAGATAAATGGTGGTTATGAGTTTGGAGAGAGGTAAGACTGTGCACTTGGTAGTTTGCCAGTGGTTCATTAGAAACATTTGAGTTTGTTAGCCATCCCTGAAGAGAAGGAACATTTATGTTGGCAGATTGCACCATGGTTCTTCTTTTCCTTGTGTTGTGGTTTTGTTAGCCATTATTTTTTATTCTACTTTTCTAGTAGCTCTTTTCCCTTAAGAAAGAAAGGGTAAAAGAGAGTGAGAGAAAAATAATAAAATAACAGCTGTAATAAGTTTTAAGTATCAATTGAGGTCATGGGGTTCACTGTTAAAAAATTGTGGATGAGCTGGTTCATTTTCCATTGCCTTAGCATTCAAACTCCTTCAGTCCTACCCTATATGGGCATGAAGAGTAAAGATGAAAAGACAATTCTGATTTTTGATAAAATTTTTATCAAGCTAAGAATTCCCCCCCCCCTTGGGAGCCAGTTTGTTCAGGAAAGGGATGGAAGGGTATTTTAGGTTCTTTGAGAATGCAGAGTTGTCCAGTAAGTAGCATCCTGTATCCAGACTACTAGTAGCTGTCTCTACCCTGAGCCATTGTGTTCATTTACCACATGTACATGTGCTGCCTCTCTTGTTCACTCTCTGCCTGTGAGCCTGCATTTAATACTCTTTAAAGCAAACAATGAAATGAATTGATAGGAATAAATTAATCACTGTGTTGATTGGGAGCTTAAAAATTCAAAAATAGTTACTTAAAAGATAATCTCGACACATGGGTGAAAATGTAAAACATTAGAATCTCCTGAACTGATCCTATAGACATGTCCAGAAGACCTGTTTTCTCTCTCTCCCTCTAGTTTTTTCCCACGTTTTCTTATTGTGCATTATAGTTGTACATAATGACAGGATTTGTTGTATAATGACATATTTGTACACAGTATGACAATGTAATTCCGTCAGTATCACTCTGTAGCATTTCCCCCTTTCCTCCCTACCTCACTTGGTCCCTTTCTTCTCATGATTTCCCTTTGATATTTTCAGGGGATCCACCCCACCTTTATTTTTCTTTTTCCTCTCTAGCTTCTGCATATGAGAGAAAAAATGATCCTTCACCCTTTGAGTTTGACTAATTTTACTTAACATAATGATCTCTATTTCCATCCATTTTCCTGCAAATAACATAATTTTACTTTTCTTTATGGTTGAATACAATTCTGTTGTATATATGTACCACAATTTCTTTATCCATTTATCTATAGATGGATATCCAGGCTGGTTCCACAGTTTGACTGTTGTGAATTGTGTTGTTAGAAACATGGGTTATACATGTGTTACCAGTAAGATGACTTTATTTCTTCAGGATCAAAACTGAAAAGTGGTATAGCTGGGTCATATGGTGGTTCCATGCCTTGTCTTTGAGGAGCCTCCATACTGATGTCCATAGTGGTCATCCTAATTTATAATCTTACTAACAGTGAAAAAGTGTTCCTTTTCCTCCACATCTTCTCCAGCATTTATTATTATTTGTATTCTTGACTGCCATTCTGACTGGAGTGAGATGAAATCTCAGTGTAATTTGATTTGCATTTCCCTAATTGCTAATGATGAACATTTTTTCATGTATTTGTTGACCATTTGTATTTCTTCTTTTGAGAAGTGTCTGTTTAGTTCATTTGTCCTTTAATTAACTGTATTATTTAATTTTTTGGTGTAAGTTTTTTGAGCATTTTATACATTCTAGATATAAATCCTCTCTTAGATGAGTAGTTAGCAAAATTTTCCACCCATTCTGTAGGTTCTTTCTTCGTATTCCTAAATGTTCCCTTTGCTTTGCTAATGATTTTTTTAACTTACTTATTTGCATAGGTAGCACTTAAAATGTTATGCATTTTAGGGTTACATTTTCCACAATAAGCATTAAATACTAGTTTGCTCTCTGCTAACCGTCTGCACCACCTCCCCATCAAAACCAAGTCAACAAACAATGTAAACTCTTCTGTAACAGCAGTTTTAAAATCATAGATTGCACTTTTTCCTGGTTTCCAAGCCTGTGGCATTGCTACATGGGTTGCACAAAAAAATTTCTGTTTCTACACTAATAGATGAAAACTGCTGACATTTTAAAATCATGGCAAAGCATTTTACAATGCCTGCACTTCTAAGAGGACAAAAGAGAAAATAAATATGAACAACAAATCTTCATGTTTGTTTGTTTGTTTGTTTGTTTAAAAAAGAGGAGGGCTGGGGCTGGGGCTGGAGCTCAGTGATAGAGCGTTCGCCTGGCAAGTGTGAAGCACTGGGTTCAATCCTCAGCATCACATAAAAATAAAAAATAAAGGTATTGTGTTCACCTACAACTACAAAATAAATACATTTAAAAACAAAAAAAAAAAGGAGAAAGTCCCTGAGAGGGCATCCAGGGAAGAAGTTAAGGCAACTAACTCAATAAAAATAACAAAGAAGCCAGCACAGTGGCAAGTTCTAAGCCAGCCTCAGCCAAAAAGCAAGGCACTAAGCAACTCAGTGAGACTCTGTCTCTAAATAAAAATACAAAATAGGCCTGGGGATATGGCTCAGTGTTGAGTGCCTGAGTTCAATCCCCGGTACCACCCCCTCAAAAAATAAAATAAAAATAAAACAACAATGAAGCAACATATCTTACAATGAATCAATTTCGGGAAGCTGAGCATCATACTAGACAACAGTGTTATTATAAGGGGCTAATGTTTGCAACCTGAAATATTCACCCAATTTTTCCTAAGCACAAGAAAATGGTAATTGTTGACCAAAAACAATAAGGAATGATTTTATGTCTGAGGTGATTCTTGATGGACTACCATGTGTATGACCAGATTTCCCTAAAGAAAAGGTACTCTGGCAGACATGATTCAGTGTGTAATTTATGTTATCTTTAATTTACATTTTTAAATTACATTCTAATTTCAAACACGTGTGCCAACCATTGGGAAAGAAAGTTATTGACAATTATATATTAATTACTTGTCTATACTTGTGTTAGTCAACTTTCTGTGACTGTAACATATGCCTGAGATAAATAAATAAACTTTACAAAGAGGAAAATTTATTTTGGCTTAGAGTATTTACAGGTATTAGTCCATCGTCAGTTGGCCCCTTTACTTTTAGACCTGAAGTGAGGCAGCACATCATGACACGGAGCATGTAGGAAACTAGAGCTATTCTCCTCATGGCCAGGAATGAAAGAGAAAAAAAGGAAGAGATTAGGATCCCACTGTCCCCTTTGAATGCCCACTCCCAGTGACTTAAAACCTCCCATTATGCCCTACCTCAAGTTTCCATTGCCTCCAGTAGGCTGAGCCAGGGATTAAGCCTTCAACACATGGGCCTTTGGTGAACATTCAAACTATAGCATCATCTTACTGTTAGGGTTTAGATATCAGGTGTCCCCCAAAAGCTCATGTGTGAGACAATGCAAGAAAGTTCAGAGGTGAAATATTTGGGCTATGAGAATCTTCTCATAATCAGCTCATTAATCCACCTGAATGGATTAACTGGTGATAACTAGGCGAGGAGGTGGGTCACTTGGAGCATGCCTTTGGGATTTATATTTTTGTCCCAGGTGAGCAGAACTCTCTTTGCTTCCTTGTTACCATGTCCTGGGCTGCTTTCCTCCCCACACTCTTCCCCTGTGATGTTCTGCCTCATCTCAGTCCCTGGCTATGGAGTTGGCTGTCAATGGACTGAGACCTCTGAAACTATGAGCAAGAAGATGGTCAGGCTATTTGGGGATATGATAGGTGATCAATACATTATGCTTTAAATAATTAAAAAGAAACTGTATTTTAAATTATTTTCCCCTGATAACCTATAGTATTTCATTTTAAAAATGTTTGTAAGGTTGCTGACATTTTTTAAAAATCCCATTTGGGGATGTATGACGACATAATGTTCTAGCACAACATTATAAATAGTCATGCAAATTATACAAGAGTGACAATTTGGGAGGAAATCCAAAATTGAAATGCATTCTAAGTTACATAATGATGTGCGTACTTTTTGCAAAGCCATATGTATTTATGCTTCCGCCAGAAGCACCCCCCTTTTTGTCATTAGACATATGGTAAAGAACTTTTATTGGGATTGGAAGCATTTGTCACAGTGGACTAAAATACTGAGGTTTAAATATGCTATAGCAAATCCACATAAAAATAAAAGTTTCCTACCCTTGAATTGGCTGTAGTGGGGGGGGGGAGGGATGTGCCCTACAGAATTGCTATAAACAGAAAGCACTGGCAGGATTGGTGGAAGTTGAAATCATAAAGCATAGTTTAGATCTGTAATCTGTGCCTTGAGTCTTCTTCCCTAGCTTTGGTGAACTTTCCACCCTTAACGTCCAGCTATCTTGCCTACTCAACTTTATTGAATCTGTGCTCCAGACTGCTTCTAACATCTTTATGTCAAGAGAGCTAATAGTTCCATTGGGGCTCTGAGTTGTTAACAGTGTGGTGGTAGATGTGGTTTCTTAAATACATTTATTGGAATTCTTTATTACTTCTTGCCTCTAAATTTTGACCATGATGCTCAGCTTCCTACACAATAAAAACATTACAACTCAGTGTTTTCCATAAATCTTTTTAGTTGCTTACCCTAAATTTGAATTAATACATATAACTCTAAATGTCCTTTGTGTCTCTCTTCCCTTAAGCCTAAAAAGATTACATATTTTAGCCATTCAGCGTCAAATGTAACTTCAAATGAAATAAATCATATTTAAAAAGAAAAAGTCATGCTTCCAAATCACCATTTCATGTAGAAAGCCTCAGATGGCTGGAGTAATCTCTACATAGCAAGTCAAAAACTGAAACTAAAATTTTCAGATTAAATGCCCCTCCCAAATCCCTTTCTCTTTTAAACTTTTAAAATTCTTTATTAATACAGTCTGTGTGCACAAAAGTCCTCACCTGTGCAGGAATAAAATTAAGGACATCTGTCTTTTTCTCCCGAGGGGAAGGAAGAGTGATTATTGTCCAGCTTTCTTCCATATCCTTTCTGCTCTGCTCTGACCTCCATCTCATTCAGAAATCAAAAGGTTTTTCTAAATTTTAAAATTATTTTGTCTCATCACACAACTAAACCAGCCAGGGTCACTCCAAGTAAATTTGCAGAATAATTTCAGACACAGAAAGTACCTTTTCTTTGTGTTCAGTGACCATTCCTCAGCCATAGCTCCCACAAGGGGGGCAAGGCAGGCAAGAAAGAGAGCAAGGAGCACCTGCTGAACCCTTTTATTGGGGAAAAGCCATTTAAATGAGGCAAGGGGTCAGGTCTAGCTTCAGGGGGTTGTGTCTAGCTTCGTGATATCTTGCTGTCAGCAGGTTGACTGACATCTAAGAAGGCCATGCCCATTTCATGTGCTGGGTGGGGATCATAGGCAGAGGGTGTGAAAAGATGCATACGTTGCCCACCCAAACAGATGGGCATTGTTGATTCAGTTCACTTTGTGTGCTCAATACACATAGTTCACACACAAACAGCCCATGGCTTGCCACATCTCCACACTCTCATCTCTCAAAGCTAAGGGGCGCTCGGTTCCCATATGGTAGCTCCTGACATATACCCCTTTCTTAGTATGAAAAGGCAATTGGGGAATTATATCTTCCAGTCACTGGATTTTTGGTCTGAGGTTGTCATGATCTACTATTGAAACACAAAAGGAATTAGTAGAAAACATATCATTTCAATAACATACCATATAGAATATTTCAGCATATTTAGGATTAAGGTCATTTAATTAACTGTGGAAGATCTAGGTTATTATTATTACTCTGCCAAACACTCACCAGAAGATTCTTAATCTTTTCCCAATTTTATTGGAAAGCATGTGTTTGACCATAGTAACACAGACATTTTTATTTGGCGTGGTATTTAAGCCTTTCCAGAAACTATAGAGGAGAGGGCTCATTCTCATTATTCATTACGTGGCTTCTAGAGCATTTTAACTAGTTGAAATCCTTTCATCAGCACTTATCTGTCTATGAAGGATCTTGGAAGTAATTTAAGTCAAATTATTAAGAAAATCCATATGTTGTAAGTTTTAAAACATAGCCATAAAGGTTTTAGTTGTAGAAACAATGAATAATATTTAAAGTTGTCACTTCAAGAATGATGAGATCAAGAGCTTTCCTAGGTCTGGTTAAAGGCATGCACCTGTTCTAAGGCTTGCACGTTAACTTCAGCATGCTAGCTGGCAATAGGACAAAGGAACTTGATGAAGGATCAGTGTCCCTTTTCTCTACTATAACTAAAGATAAAATTAGGCAAGTTGTACCTTTTATAGGTTACAGAATATGTAATCATCCTTTTTCTCAATTCTCACATTTAAGGAGTCTTTTAGGTCTGTCAGTAATGTAAATATTCTGAAGGTAGAAGTCAACGATCAAAACATCATTTTGGCTGCCATCTCGCAGAGAATTAAGGTTTCTAGGAGTTACGGCATCCTCATATAATTCTAGGAGACCAGCCTAAAATATGTCCGCTATTTCTACACACCTTATGTTGTACTGACAAGACATATGTACAATCTATCCTCTTAGAAAAGGTGTCAGTTTCTATTGTAGAATGATTAGGGCAGTAATACATTGGTGGATATTTTATGTAAATAACTGGCCTGTATAGGAAAATTTCTGTTTCAACAATCTTTGTGTTTTGACAATTGCCTAGATACATAGTCTTAATTTCTAAGGACCAGCATAATTGGCTGGTTTAGGTTTCTCATATGCTGTCTTTTTCTCAAAAGATACTCCCAGACATCCTGTTTACCACAGGATCAACATACAGGTCTAACTGACCGTTATAGTCATTACAATTAATCTAGTTTCATGGGTGGACTTTTCAGTCCTCACTGCAAGGCACATTAGAGGTGTACCTGAGAAATGGGTCCATAGGAGTATAGGAGTTTGTTCATAATTTTTTACTTGCCTGACAAGCTCGTGAAGCTGCATGGCTGTAAACTCTGCAGCTGGGAGATTTACCTTCCTGTGTCAGGGTTGACAACCTTTCCATGATGACCAGTTTAAATTCTATCTTTTGATATTTGATTTAACTTACTAAATTACATTCATCAGCAGTAAGACTCTCAGTATCACAATTAAGAAAAATTTTAAAAATATTTTGTAAGATCTATTATGTGCCTGTGGGGTCCTGTTTTCCCTCTTTTTGTAATGAAATTGACTAAAGGCCTAGCATAAGCGATAGCATCATCAGTTTGAGTTATAGATAATAGTACAAGTATTTGAATAATAAGAAAAGAATTACCATCTTTAGTTGGTCGTGAATTTTGACAGAAGTTATTTAAAAGAACCATGGTAAATAGAAACTTAGCCTTTACTAAAGTATGATGACTTGATTTTGACTTTAACAGAATTACCAAAAATGAAGAATACAATAAGTTGTATATAAAAATTTATATTTTGAAATTAGCTTTAGATTAACTTAAATAATTATCTTAATTTGGAATGAAGTTAGAGACAGAGTTTTTAAATTAGGAGTGGTGGTCTTTACTAGGGGCATGAAAAAATTATAGACATCTGTCTAAAATAGGAAGTACTTATGTTAAATAAGCCTAGAGAGGATGTTTTGAGTTTTGCCATTAATAAAGAACAAAATAGAGAAATGAATAGTCTTTTATCTATGAATCCATGAAAAACTGTCATCATTGTTATCAAACAGTGTTGACCTAAGTAGGGGGAGTTAGTATCTCAAATATTAATGGGTAAAGACAAGTCAACAGTGTGGTTTAAAACAATGATCTAATTTAAAATTTATAGGACATTGAACTATCAATGACATTTTGAGGGGTTAACAGTGATCTAATTTAAAATTTATAGGACATTGAACTATCAATGACATTTTGAGGGGTTTATGTCAAAATAATCTTTGTGTATAAAGAAAGCATCCTTAATAACTTTGTTTAAGGTAGAAAAATTAGCTCCAATAACCATGTGTAATCCATGATTTTACTAATTTTAAAAATATCAATGTATATATTATTGATATTGTCTCATATTATTAAAGTGGTGAAAAGGTCTATCATGGTAAAAATTTTTATTGAAATAAGCTATCAGCTGTTGATCTGATTTATTTATAGCTATCTGTTTAATATTTTAGGGATAACTATTTTTGGTGTCATTTTTCTCAGTGATAAACTGTTGACAAGGGTTTGAAGTAAGGCCCTATTTTAATGTTTAGAGGCTTTCAAAATCTGATTATAACCTAGGAGTAAAATTTTTAACTTGGAAGTTTATTTTTCTTGAGGTAAGATTAGCATTTTAATCTCTTTCTGTCTGTATGTTTGCTTTTCTTTCTTTCTTTCTTTCTTTTTTTTTTTTTTTTCAATTTGGGCTCCATTTAACTATGATGTAACATCTAAACTTGGCTAGAATTATGCTAATCTTTGTAAATCCTTGGAATGTCTAGGACTAGCTGGATGATAAACTCATCTTTGAAAATGGGTGGCCCCCTATAAGTTTAGGGTGCTGTACTGTCTTTTTGAGTCTCTCTATGAAAATATTAGGATTTTTCTAAAGGCTTACTAAAATAATTTTTTAGGCATTTTGTTTACCTGTGGGATACCAATTTGTCCTGGAAAACTGTCTATGCTCCAGAAAAACTGTCAGGCTTGTACCTATTCTGTGTTACTGGGACATGGTTAAGATAAATCTCCTGTAAAACTGTTCTCAAGATGGCTGTGTATTTTAAAGTTTAGTTAAGTAATAGCATAATATTTCTCTAGATAAGGTTAGACATCTGGCATAAATTTTGAAATATTATACTATATGAATTTGGATCTTTTAAAAAATCTCTCTGAATTTGTTTTGGTTTATATCAAGTCTGAGAGGTTCTTCAATCTTTCTTTCCAGCAGGTAATTTTTTAAAGCCTTCTTTGATGATAGTAGTTGAGGCTAGATGTGAAAATGAGAAATCTTTTATTGATTGCTTTAATTTCCTAGTATATAGACTAGTTGATCCATCCTAACAATTTTAAAAGAACCCTCAATCTCTTTCTGAGAGAAGGTCTCAAAATATCTCTGTATCTCAGAATATTATCCTTTAAATAGGTGTCTCTTAATTGTCTTTTAGAAAATATGATTAAGGTTACTTCCCAGTTTAGGGAGCAATATACAAGTCTTATAATGTTTCATGGATTATAGGTCCAGTCAGAGAATTTATACAATACA